CATGTTGCTGACAAAGATGTTAAAGTTCAGCAGCTTGAAAGACTATGTGGTTTAAATGGAAACCCTGTTTTGTATGATCCTTTTTCTCAAGGTTTCTATGGCAGAAGAATACATCTTGCTCAATTTGCTGAAAGGATCTACAACCACCAGGGTTCCAGCATCGCAAAACTCTTTCTATGCACTATGTTTTGAAGCAAGGTGAAGAAAATCTTTTTAGTTTGGATAAATATTCTCATATGTTGTGAACTTCAGAAACCACTTTACTGAAGTAGTGACTTACAGTTCCATGCCAACACATCAGACAAAATATCCCACATTCTTAAATGTAATCTCTTTTTTTCCCCTCTTTGTATTATTTCACAAGTAGTATATTTAGAAGTAACAGCAAAAATAAAAGTTTATTACTTAGCTATTGTTTACTGAAACCTAGAAGTTCTAAGACTGATGCATGAATTATTTAGAAGAGAGACAGAAAGCACATACTCCATACTTATTTAGTTACAAATTCCCATATTTATACCTTGTGATCATCTGCCATTTTCTTTCCAGCCCACATTTCTTTCACTATCAGGTACCAGAGATCACACTCAGTTTTAAGGTTCGCTTCAAAGGCTTCTTTTTTAGATAACAATTTAATCCTCAGAGTAGGTATTCTCAGAAGAAGGAAAGGTACAGTCGTGCTCTGAACATCCTGGAAAGGTATGAAAACACAGAAAACAAGGAGGATGTACCATGACATCACAGATAAGGTGCAGCATACAGGGCAACTTTCTCTGCTTCTAACTACAGCTGATGATTTCAACTGTCTGTCCACACCATTAAGCAGAGATGGTTTTATGAAAACGTAGGCTCCAAACATCATACAGACTGCACTTCACAGCGGATGCAAGCTGGCTGGCTCACACCCCAGTGAAATAAGCACACAACACTCGTGGGATTAAATCTCTTGAGCTCAGTATCCCATGTGCTGCGCTTTGCACATTTCTGTACACCTAGAGGTTATGACCTCTTGATTTTTATTCTATGATGTCAGCACCGAGGCAAACTGTACAACATCAGCTTTGAAATTTCTGGTCCAAAGACACAGAATTTTGTCTAATTACTCATGGGTTACTGACTTCAGATGTGTTTCTTACACTCCTTACTAAAACATTGTGAGACAGATCTCTCGGCAGAACGCAACATGCCCTATCTCCACAAGCATGCAAGAGAACAAGGTACTTGGTGCTCACCTCTATATCCCTGAAAGAAGCAATCTGGACATAGCCATGACGTCCTCCCTCAGTCAAAAGGAACAAACGCTTTTGGGTCAGAGCTATTTTTCCTACCCCATAGTTAGTTTTAACTGAGCAGGATAACTTGTAGACACATTCATTTTTGTCTAGATGCTCAATTACTGTTGGTGGCAGATTCACATCTTGAGCTTCTGCTTCAGTTTCTTTCCAGTAGTTGTAGAAATCTCTGAACGTTTCAGGATCGATTTGTTTCTGATGGCCTAAAAAATTTTAAGGATATTTTTTACTGTGAGAAACGATTATACAGATTTGCACAGAAAGATAGCTTTAAAAGATATTAACTTTCTAATTGTGCCTGTAGCAGTATAATGGGTAAGCAAGGTGCAAAAACTACAAAAAACAGGCCTGGAAAACAGTTAAGAGACAAAATTTTGCTTTTTAGGTAATGAAGATTTCTCTGCAGTTAGCCTAGGCCATAGACCCCATGCATTTGGCATCCCCTCTTCCACCCTACTCTTTGGAGGGAGGGAGCAAATGCTCTGCCAGTCTTGCTTTTTTAAATCTGTACCAAAAATCCAGTCCACCAATGGGAAAGGATTTGTACTTCCCTACTGAACTGAATACTTTCCGTTATGACTTTTCAGTTATTTACTCTATTGGGCTGTATCACATACTTACCAATCTGGGATAAAAGCTGAAGTCTTAACTGTTAAAGACTTCAGCAGTAAGTATTCTAAATAATTCATTATTCTAAAAATTCAAGTGTTTGGACAAAAGAATCTCAAGGCCAGGCTGGATGAGGCTTTGAGCAACCTGGTCTAGTGGAAGGTGTCCCTGCCCGTGGCAGGGGGGTTGGAACTAGATGGTCTTTAAGGTCCCTTCCAACCCAAACTATTCTATGATTCAAACAAACAAATTCTTGCAACACGTATGCTACCCCTGGCTTCAGAAAATCTTGTTTATAGTCTTGCTATTTGACCAATGTTTAATCCTTTGTGCCCACCAGAGTAACTAGGCATAGAAAGAGAACTGAACAGTATTTTGTAAAAGCACCCTCAAACTATGTCTGAAGAAATCAGTCACAAGATTCAGATCTTGAAAAGGAGAGAAGAAAGTGTTCTCAGATATAAATGTAACCTCTCCTTTTGCTACTGGTGACCATCCAAGAGGAATTTAACTGCAGCTACCTGAATTCCAGATTTTGTTAGTTTATTTTTAGCAGACTGCCAACTTGCCATGTTACCTAGTGCTTTTATAACACAGACATATTTCCATTAGCAATTGCTATTTCTATTGCATATTTCCATTAAATATTGCATATTTCCATTACCAACAGTCCTGCATTCAATTTACTCACTTGATGGTGTGCAGTTCTGCTTTGGCTTAGAATAGTCAAATCACAAAACTAGCTCACCTGGACAACCTGAAAAATTGTAAATTGCGTGCCTAAATGCAAATAGATTCCTTGTCTCTACTGTAGATGCAAATATAGACATTCCTGTATACAAAGCTATTCTCCATAATCAGCCTAATTAAATAAAATTGTCCATAAAGCTCACATCTTGTGAGGCTCATAAAATGTTGGAGAATAATTAAAAAGAAAAACAACCAGAGATAAAAATTTTATTTTGGTTCTTTAAAAAACAATTTGAAAGTGTCATTGCACCAACGGAGATGGTCATTAAAAATGTATCTTATACTCACCTACTGTTAGGGCATCAAATAACCGATGTATAGTATCTCTATCTTTGACAATCCCAGACTCCTGGATTCGCTTCACAAAATCACCCAGTTGCATGTGTGTTTTGGGCAATTCAAAATTTTTTACATGGTCATCTATTTTCATAACTTCTCTTTGTTTCTCCATCACTCGACTGATCAGTTTCTTCAGCTCAGGTTTGCGGTCTGCTTGAGAACGCTCAGAAGGAGACATGGTTTCCACTATTTTTCTTACAAGATCAGTAGGGAAGATTCTTAAGTCTGTTTTATCTAGGTTCTGAAAGTCAGAAAGTGCATGTAGTAGTTTGCCTTGCATCAAGCTAATAAGTCCCCGGAGGTAGAAGTACCTCGCCAGCAATGCTGAGTTATCAGGTGGTAAGGTATTTATAGCTTTGCTGAGATGGTTGAAGAAGTCTGTATAGTAGGAATGAACACACTGGAACATCAGAGGAAAGTGAATTTCTGGGATTTTGAACGTGCTAACTTGTTTGGAGGGCATTTTTACAGCTGAAAACAAAACACAATGAAAGAACATTGATTAGTGTAAGCAGTGAATAAAAGTGCAAGTATCTTCACAACCAGCCATACTACAAACAATAAAAAGAATCTCCAGCACAGCAACCAGCAATTACATGAAATCACATTAAATCCAAGTAAGAATCACAGAATGGTTTGGGGTGGAAGGGACCTTAAAGACCATCTAGTTCCAAGCCCCCTGCCATGGGCAGGGACACCTTCCACTAGACCAGGTTGCTCCTGGCTTTGAACACTTCCAGGGATGGGGCATCCACAGCTTCTCTGGGCAACCTGTTCCAGTGTCTCACCACCCTCTGTAATTTGTAAGATTACAGCTGTGCCAGGGACAAGGATATATTTCTATATGTCCACTGTCCTTATCATCAGAATATTCCATAATCTGATAATATCAATTCTGGGAAAGATGAGAAAAGAAACATAAAAATTAAAACCCCATGCAGTTTCTATAAGACTTGCTTTGTTCAACAGTGAGAAGCCTCAGCCCACATGTAAAGATAGTGGAGAACTGGACATACAGTGGGTGAGGACTGAACATGGTTACTGACTCAGGAAGCAATTGCAGAGTATCAATTCCACTGTGTCCAATCAGTCTTTTCTGGTACAGCAAAAATTACAACAGGTTACAGGCTGATTTAACATGCAAAAAGCGGCACAGACAGGCCCCAACTCCAAAGGACCCAGCCTACCGTTTCTTTCCAGCTTCTGACACTGTCTGTGAAAACTGTTCAGTGATGTCACCCATAAAAACAGACAAGACACTATATTTGCTCAACACATTCTTCCCTTACCAATGCCTGTTTCTATTCGTCGCAGTGAGGAATTTCTAATAGGACCCTCTGGCAGCTTGATATCTTGCAGATTAGGCATACTGATTACCATACGCCTACTAATCATATCCTGTGGATTAAACCGTTTAAAAGCCATTTTCTCCATAGTCAGTCTTCTCGGGGTACGAAACATCAAGTCTAACCTGAGAAAAAATAGAACTCGTTTTAAAATCCAGTATATGTTCACACTAAATTACTATTTGATTATTTTTTGTATAATAATAATATAGTACCAATTTATGATATAACAGTCATGGATGGGCATGCTCATATCACCCTTTTACAGTAATCTTAACAAAATGGCCTATCAATTATTCATAACCATATTCATAGATGACCTGATCTCATACCAAGAGAGTCAATCTCATACCAATACAGTCCAAAGGACTTTTCTCACCGATATCAACAGAATATTCAAAACCAGAATAAAGAACGAGAGGACTTTACCTATCCTCTTCAGACTGGGTACTCAGCTCAAGTCGAGCGAAAGCATCCATCTTTCTGTTCAGACGAGCTTTAAGAAAAGAGTGAAACATGTAGGTCTCTAAAACCTGTGAGACACAAACTGGTTAACTGCGGATCATTTACAAATTACATTGTCATTAGCATGTTTTGCTCATTTTTATTACCTTTACATATGCAAAGCTGAGAACTTCCAATTTAACAATCACAAAACCAAAAATATTTGAAAGCTTCAACAACAGAAAGCTAACTCGGTTTATATTCACTTTCTGCACTTTCACAAATCTCAAACCACCCTCCAAAAGATGAACCCAAACAAAAGTGAGAAGTATGGAGCAAAACAGAGAGTTTAACAGTATATTTTATGCCTATAAGTAAGTGTTGATAATATTGTCTACAGTTTGGGGTAAGACGTTTGTAGCACTCTAACATTATGACATTAAACGTGAAAGATGCGTCATCTTTTTGCCTGGTAACCCCCCAGAATTGTTTCCTTCTCAGGTAATTATTGTGGTGTCATCCAGAAATAACTTCTAAAAGGTCAAATTTATACCTTTAGGATAGAGAACACCCTAAAAAATGCCAAGTGCAAATTAAAACAAGATGAAAGCCAGGATTTGAAGCAATACCACATGTGTACTACATAAACCTTAATTCTAGCACAGAGATTTTAGTGTTGTTTAAAATAAACAATTCAGAAAACTAATCCATTCAGGAAATCAAATGCAAACCTCATCAGGAGACAATATTGTTATAGCAAGGAATTCTGCCTTTATGTTTATACAACCTCCAGCCTTTACAAACTTGACAGTTGTAGCTATGAATGTAATTATGAAAAATTACTGTGATTAATTATATACCCCAGAGGATTACCTAAGATACCCTTGTCAGTCTTGGTGTTTATCACAGGACAAAAAAAGACAAAAAACCAAATCAACCCAAAAACTTACTAATCAGACATCAGTGTATTTCTGTGATGTTTTTAAAAAACAAATGAGAAAGATTCATAAGTATTCTAGGTACTCTGAAATTAATGAAAACACATCACCAACAAATTCTTATTCAAGACGGCTTTTATCAATCCATTTACAACCTGTTCTGTAAAAAGGCATCTAAAATAGCATTAAGATTTCTGCTTTTAAGTATTTCTCCAGTAGATGGCATGCCTTGCTGCCAGTTCATAGAATCACAGAATGGTGTGGGTTGGAAGGGACCTTAAAGACCACGCAGTTCCAACCCCCTGCCGTGGGCAAGGACTGTACAATTGTATGTACAGCGGCTGACAAGCTGCAGACACCAAGTCTTTTCTAATAGCTTTAGGAATTCTCTTAATGTAATGCTAGATACCACTAGCAACCACTCCATATTGTGGTATCTTCTAAGATTTACTTGCAAGCAAACCTGTCACTATGTTATTTGGTATTTAAGTGAGTCAACTGCTCAAAGCTCTGCTTAAATATGGACATCTGAATTTTCAATGGATTCTAAATTTCAATTCATAAAACTGCCACTACTTCATTTATAGCATTAGAAACTGCTACTAAAATGAATTATTTCTATTCATTTGAATTCCTGGTCAGAACATTTCCAATTAATTTCTTTTCTGATTACCTAATAATAGTTTATTTTTAATCTTTCCTTTTTGTTAGTTTAAGAACGTTTGCCAGTGTCACAAGCTTTATCCACCTTCATCAATTTGTTACCTTTGAACTGCCAGACATGGTGCCAAGTTTGGCAACTACAGTTTAAGTAAAATGAGATACTTCTCTGATCATTTCCTTTACACACTGACATCTCACATCCCAGAGAAGCTGTGGATGCCCCATCCCTGGCTGTCTTCAAGGCCAGGCTGGATGAGGCTTTGAGCAACCTGGTCTAGTGGAAGGTGTCCCTGCCCATGGCAGGGGGGTTGGAACTGGATGATCTTTAAGGTCCTTTCCACCCAAACCATTCTGTGATTCTATGATCTCCTTTAAATGGATCTCCAGAAACTTTTAGCATATGTTTGAAGTAGGAAACAAAACAGGAAACAAAAAAGGTGTTATCAACCATGGTCTGTTGATGTTAATGAACAGATCTTTTTGCCAGGTGTAAGAGAATTACACCACAGCACCAACTTCCCAATTCTAGTGGCAAACATCTGGAACTTTCATACGCACCCATGGAACATAATTAAAAGCAAATGTAAAATGGCAGATGCACTTTCTTACATTCCTTGTTAAATCTTTGCTTTGAACCACGGGTTTGTTAAACAAGCTATAGTATCGCCAAAAAAAGTGAAGACAGAGCTCAATAATATTTTACTTTTAAGAAGCTTAAGTAACAGCACAATGTGTCTTACAAGTGGTTTGAATAAGAAGCTACTTAATAAAAACTACAATGGAAATTGCATCAAAGGGTGCAGTAAGTTGAGAAAGATGGTTTTGCACCCCTTCAGAAATTAGGTGTTGACCATAGACACTCCCAGTTTAGGGTAACAGTCTTCCAAACAATTAGTTTTTAATTTAACTAAAGTAGACATTTGGTTAATAATCATAACACTTAGAAAAAAAGGAAAATCACAAGAACTTCTAACTTTGGACTTTAGCTTGCAGTGTCAAGACCGAATTCTCCTAGAACACCATCCGTGCCTAGACACAAACCCTTAAATCATGTAAATTCTGTTTCTCAAATACACATCAGTTCAGTTTCATTCTTTGAAGGCAAATATTCATTTAATCAGGTGCAAAGAGTTTACTGTAAAACAACAGTCTCAACCGCAAGGATGAAACTCTGAACCTTCACACCTCCAGCAAAGTACCGTAACGCTGTAAGATAGTCTCACAGGAACCAGCGTAGTCTTAATCTTTATTTCTCTTCCTGCTCCTTTCCTTCTGTTCCCCCTTCCTTCTCACCCAGAGGATCTCCAGGCTTTGATGGTCAGTGACAGTCCTACACCAAAGGCATAGAGAACTGCTCTAACTCCTACAGCCTGGTGGCCAAGACACTTTCCTTTTAATGACGAAATTACACCCATCCCATTTCCTTAGGATATACAAAGCTATTACATGAAAGGCAGAGTCATGCACCAGCAATAGGACCAAATCTGCATCCTTCATAAAAACCTGGGTCACTGTATGCACCGGGTGAAAATTGAGTCATTTTGGAGCTTCAGCAGATCAACTTATGCAAACAGGATCAAACCGATGAGGGCAGATGCAAAAGGGACTCAGGGCTTGCACGGAAAAACCCCACACCCCTACAGGGTTTCAAAAGGGACTCAGGGCTTAGATGGAAAAACTCCACACCCCTACAGGGTTTCAAAAGGGACTCAGGGCTTGCACAGAAAAACCCCACACCCCTACAGGGTTTCAAACTCAGGTAAGTATCTAACAAAGCTCAGTTAGCAGGACGGCTAAGAAAAAGTAGGTGGGGATTTCAAGATGTCCTTTAGCCTCCGACACTATCGGGCGTGGCCCAAGTTTATGCACTATTTGAGTCTTACTTCAGGGGCTTCACCAGCACATAAAATTAAGCTACGGTTATGTTACCTAGTAAAGCACATGTAAGCTAAATCAGCTTATGTGCTGTATGCCCTGTCACACCGCAGGCCCTCAGGACACCAGTGCCAGTCATGCTCAGAGCCAGCAGCACGCGTTCGCTGTGACGCGTTGTGGGAAACAGGCTCGTGGCCCAGAGCTGAGGAGGCATCAACCCCATGCCCTGTTGCTCAGGCTACAGACAAAGCAGGTACTTCAGTTGGTGTCATATGAGCTCCCTTCTGCTGTGCTCACAGGCTTGCTTAAAACTCATGTCTACATATGGGCTTCAATCCAAGCATATTGGACAGGTGCCTGTGCTTAAAATACAGTTTCGATGTAGCTTTACTGACCATCTGCCATAGGTTAATCTCACCCCTGAGGAATTACATTTAATTTACTCTGGAATTACACAGCTCCTTGCTCTCCAAAATGCTGTTTACTATTTTATTTGTTTATAGTAAATAAAATACATTTGGTAAAGCATTCTGTGAAAGTTGGCGCTTCAACAACACCACACAGACCGAACTGTAACCACTTGATTAATTTCTGGGATTAATCCTAAAATACAGATTAATAACAGAGATTAACAACGTATTTAACTCTGAACTTACCTTTTTGTAAAATGGCTGGTCTCCGATTGTCCTTGTTTTCAGAAATTCTTCACTGTTAAACACTCTATGTTCATAATTTAGATGGTCTTTTACCTCCCTGAAGACAAAAATAAAGAGATAAATAAGCTTGGAGATTTGCAAGCAAGTTGCACTTCTGCAATAGCAGCAGCCCACTGGTACTACGAGAAATACGCTGCAGTATCAGAAGGCAAGCTCAGTTTTAATGAACAAGTTTGAGTTACTGAATCATAGAAAAGAAGGCAAACTTCTTATAAAAGGAAGACAGGCCACCTGCTGCCACTGCCATTTCAAGTCAACAAATTCATTTACAGTCTGTGGGAACAATTGTAGTAAACCATGGAGGAGAAGCTATACATTTAAGTCATGACTTAAGGCTCCAATCCTGGAATTATATTTAAATTCCTGAATCACAGACAACCCCTCTGGAGTTGTCTTTGGAGCTAAAAAGAAAATTCTACCTATCCACGCAGGCAATCTGAAAGTTGTGAGCTGACCTCACACTGTCCCATTACACTGCATCTGTAACATGCACCTTAAATATTACAGACTAAGTAATTTTTTTCTGCACTCTCAAACCCAGCAATAACTGGCAGTTGTGACAGAGACAGAACTACTGAAGTAAGAGAGAAAGCGAGATAAGAACTGAGGCATATTTTAGTATATGCATAGTCAGCAGGCAGCAAACAGAGGCCCTGTACTATCCCTGGAAAAACAGGCGTCAGTAGTAACTTCTAAGCCAGAAAAAGTTGTTTCAGGAACAGAAAGTGGGAGTTTTTCAGAAAAAAAAAGCTTTTCTCTGAACTCAAGCCTGTGAGTAAGAAATGTTAGCTTATTTAAGATAGGTATGTGCAAGTAGCTAAGATCAAGGCTCTTCTATTACTACATTTTTTTTCATCTACTCATGCTGGGTATTGAGGAATATGAAATTCCCATACATTGTGGGATACCATGAAAACACACGAATGAAAAAAATAAGTTGGTGAGCTAAAATTTAAATGGGAAATCTCATACCCATACAAAGAACTGACAGTCTATACATTGCTTGTCTTTCATACATCAGTGATAAAAGCCCATTAACAGTTTAACAAGCCATGTGGGTTAAGAAAAAGATGGTTAGTAAAAGTACACAGTTCGATATAATCCTACATAATTTAGCACTGTTTGCTTTAAACAGAGAACCTCCACGCACACAAAAATGCTAGTGCTTCACTGAAGGCAGTAACAACTGGCAGCACAATTGGCTCAGAGATTTCCTTTCCTTCGCTCCCAGATGCTGGTAGACAGAGCATTAGAAGATAGAAGAAACAAGGCTGAAAAAAAGAACAAAGAAAGAAAGTTTGAAGGAAAGGAGAAAGAAAGCAAGAGAAGAAGCAACTCATTTTTGAAACATATCATCTCTTAGAGAACAAAGCATCTGTTCATTTTTTGTAGCCAAGAGTTTAAGACATTAAAGAGTTCAAGCTGTCAGCTGCAAAACCCATTTCCCCTCATCTTTATCTGGAACAGACTGTTGCCAGACCCTGAAATCCACCAAATCCCACCGCGGTAGCACATCAGGTTGTAAATGCATTTCAGTTTCCATATCCAGCTAGCTCTAAGGCTGTTCTATCCTCCACACCCAGCAGCTATTGTCTTCTGGAGCACGCAGTCACTTGGTAGGATCATTCCCTAAGCCGATCCAACAACAGCGAGCAGGTTAACAGAGACCTGGTGTTTGGACAATTTAACCCAGTGCCTACTGACTCAAAGTGGTAGGGAGCGTGTGTGTGAGCAATTCAGCAGCTGATTCAAAGGGGAGCACCAACTCCAGCAAGAAGCAGCAAGAAATAGCTGGGGATGGCTGTCTACACAGCTGTTTGCAGATCTCTGTCCATACAATCAGAATCTTTAGAAATGCCAGGGAGGCAGCTTCACTTTCATGGTCAAGTGTGTTAGTACCTATGTAAAAAGAAGTCAGGCATATGTAAACCAGCCATCTCCTTGCACTTTTCTGTGCAAATCGCCTACCACGCTTCCATCCCCTCCCCACATATAAGCAAGTAATAGCAGGATTTACAACCAGTACCCAGACTGGTAAAATAAAGCAGCTGTGGGTTGCACATTACATTATGTGGGTTACTCATTACAGCAGATTTAGATTACATTGTGGGTTACACATTACATTGGATTAAGAACAAGAGAACTTAGCATAGCTGGATGTTATTTTAGAGAAATAAACCCAAACCCTACTCCACATCATCGTTAAAAAGTCAGTCCCAATCACATCCAACACCCAGCATTACCTGTGCCAACACTCTGTCTTTGAGCTCAAAGAGCTCCTCTCCCTCCCTCATCCTCATGCGGTTCCACTCTCCAGCTATCCATTCTCAGCATTTGTTCAGGTAGCCAAAAGACACCCAGGTGTTCTGAACTCCTGACTCTGCTTTCCACTCTTCTATCCTGACCCAGTTTGCATTCATCTGTCTCTAACAAGAGTGACCAAGATTGTGCCCAGTTACAAACTGATATCCTTACTAAGCCTTAAGCTTTTACTAATTACAAAATATGAGAACTGCACTTCTCTTTGGGAATCTTCATACATACGAAAGGCATACAAGTTCAAAATTAGAACAGTTTCATTTAAGATGTCCTAGCAATGTATATGTGCCTGAATACATTAACTATGGATCTTCCAGCAGGCTAGCTGGATCTCCTTCTCATATATCCTCACAACAATTAAAATATTTACAAAACATCTATAAAATAAGACAAAACAAGAATATTTTTAGTGACGGTGGAAGTGTCTCAGCCAGTACCGTATGCTCTTATAACACAAAATACTATGTCCGCTCACCTGAAGATATTAACAATTAACTGCAACGTCATTTGCTGAACTTCTGTGTTCAGTTTCTGTTGCCAAGCACTTCTACGCATCAGGAGTTCACCAAGATCTGTGCTGGCTCGGAGATGGCAGAGCTCTAGATCATAATGCAGCTGAAGACACTCCACTCTACATGGGGAAGAAAATTATCGTTACATCCTAACACCAACAATTGACTTTCGTACCTCTTACAGAAGAAGTCATTTAGGCTTCACACATCTTAGAGCGAGAGAAAATGCAAGATTGATTTACAAGTGTTGACAAGCCAGCGAGATTTCTGCAAGTCCTACAAGTACAAGTAAATCACAGTACATTCAGTCCTCTTTGTAAAGAACAATAAAGTTCAGAGAATAATGCGTATCAGCAATAAAAGAGAAACAAGCATCCCAGGTGCTGCAAAATAATATGGTTATGGTTATGACTACCTCAAGTTACCTCTACATTAATTGAAAGTTTCAATTTGGTCTTATCAAATACAGTGGGTTTTATAGGAATTAAATAACACAATAATAAATAACACAAAATAAAAACCTTAGAAAGAGGGTCAAGCATGATTTATGCACTATGATAAAAACAACCTCAACGTGTTTTCACCTTTTTATGAAGATTGCTGCTGCTTGTGCTGGAACATCTGGAATTTCAGGTTCTTGAGCCATTTTAGAATGTGTAATCTCTCCATTATCAATATTAATGAGAATTAAGTCTTCAGCTTCCTTGTAATGAAAGAAAATAGAATGACAGTAAATATAAAAACGTTTACTTCTTCCTTACATAGTTCTCAGGCAATTAATTACTTCAGCAAGAAGATAAAACAGAAAACAATTAACTTCTTCCCCTCCCAACTAGATGATCATATAGATAACTAAACAATTACTTTCAAGAAAAAGAAATGTTTTTAAATTAATAGATATTAATCTCTGTACACAACAATTTGGTAACCTAATATGGTCTTCACACAGTATTAAATTAATACTAGATCTCTAAGCTTATCTTTGAAAGGGTATACATAAAAAGATATGTACAAAACCCTATGTACGCAAGGAACCTCCCTAAAAGCTTATTTCCAGTATTTACTCCTGTACTCATCCTGTGGGGTGACTGGGAAAGGGAGTCTTTGTGTATTAGTCTTAAACACATGCTAATGGACAAAAAGTCACATGGAGCTGCAGTCCATGCTGACCTCTAAGGTTATTAAAACTGCAAACTGAGAGGTCAGACTGTAACACAGTATATATACAGAAACATAAAACCTCCAAATTACATCAAAGAAAAGTTTGGTTTCTAACTTGCACTTATTTCTGATAGTAAGAGCATCTTGCTAGCTAAAAAGAAACTTTAAAATTACCTATTTCAACTTAATGCTTTGCCCATTTTGGACTTGACTAGATGAATCAGTTTCACTTTGTCTTGTAATCAGATGGATTAATCTAATATAAACATACACAATTTTTTTGTGTTTAGTTTCAAACACTCACAGAAAAACAATGCGACACCCTCAAAAAAAAAAATACATTCCCACCAGCCTTGCTCTGTGAAGTTCAGTTTCTCTGAAACCTTTTGGGGGAATCAAGCTTAATGTTACTCACTGAAACAGGCAGAGGTAAATAAAATTCTGAAAAAGGACAAAAATCTCTTAGAAAAATTGTGAGATTTTATTCTTTACATTGCTTTCTCTTTCTTATTTTATTAAACTTGAGCATGGGGAACAGCAGCAATATCAGGATATTTTCAAGTGCGTGCTCAATTCTTAACCCAGATTTCTGGAAAAGGCACTTAATTCATCCCAGAACTCTTAGCAAAAAATAAGCTCACTGATCTGAAGAGAAACTACGTATATGATACAAACAACATGTCAGTAGAAATCTTCCCCAAAATGAAATGTGAACTCACAAAAATCACGATTATTATCCTGCAGAGAAAAGAAATGCAAGGGATACAAAAATAAGCTTTTTCTAATAAGCCAGTGATCACATCCGTATGGTTCCATTACTTTCAATTTCTTGACTTCTCACACACCTATGTAACAAAAGCAAGTTTCTAAAAAGCACAGCAACAAATGCAGTGGAAGTGAACAGCAAGAGTGGTAACAGTCTAAAACATACCATGCTAACTTCTTGAAGATGATCAATATGACATCCCATAAGAAAAGATGTTGGGGCCATTACAAAATCCAGCATTTGACGAGACAGGATAGGCACAAAAGTGTGTTGCCACTGAAGAGGATGAAGGTACAACATAAAGCATTCAGCAACAAGTGTCAGCAGAGCCCAGTCAGAAGAGAAGAACACTATTCTCTGCTCAGTCAAAATACAGGTCATAATCTGGAAAAAAACCCAAAATGTTAAATGTTTAAGAAGAGTTATATCCAGAACACACAAATATTTCAACTGCTTGTGAAACTCAGCCTCACAAGTTCTGCTTTCTAATAGCTACCTTAAATATATATAAATTGAAATAATGTGTTGGGTATCTGAGGTGGGGGCTTCTGGTAGCAGGGGAAGGGCTACAGGGATGGCTCCTGGGAGAAGCTGCTAGAAACTCCCTCAGCTCCAAGCCCGTCCCTCCTCTGGCCACGGCTGAGCCAGTCAGTGCCTCTGTTTAAGTGGGGAAAACACAAAAAGAGAAGCAGCAGCAGAAGCAGAAACAGAGAGGAGAGAATCAGCGTGGAGAGAGGAGAGGGATGTGAGAGAGACAACAAGCCAGACAACAAAAGTCAGTGCAGAAGGTGGGGAGGCGGTGCCAATGACTCCATGGGAAGCCCACACTGGAGCAGTCTGCTCCTGAAGGACCACACACTCATGGAAGGGACCCACGCTGGAGCAGTTGAGGAGGAAAGCTGCAGCCCGTGGGAAGGACTCATGTCCGGTTGGTTCATGGAGGACTGTCTGCCGTGGGAGGGACCCCACGCTGGAGCAGCGCAAGAGTGTGAGGAGTTCTCCCACCCTTGAAGTGGAAGGGGCAGCAGAGACAATGTGAAATGACTGAAAACACCATTTCCCATCCCCCTGCACTGCTGAAGGAGGAAGGATGCAGAGAATCAGGAGCAAAGCTGAGCCCGGGAAGAAGGGAAAGGTGGGGGGAAAGCCTTTTAAGATCTGTTTTCATTTGTCTCTCGCTGCCCTACTCTGATCTGATTGGTAACTATTTAAATTGACCTTTCTTCCCCAAGTTGAGTCTGTTTTGCCTGTGACCATAATAGGTGAGTGATCCTTCTGTGTCCTTGACTCCATCAATAAGTTTTTCCTTGTATTTTCTCTTCCCCGTCCCACTGGGGATGAGGAGTGAGCAAGTGGTCAAGTGGTCATGTGGTCTTTTCCTACCATCTGGGCCTAAACCACGACAAATGTCCACTTAAGGATTCTTACAAAACTAACAAAAGAAGAGAACAGAAGAGCAGAGACAATTTAAGTGACAGTGAAAGTCAATGATGGTTCTGCCACCACTGTCAACGAGACTAGGATTTAACTGGAATTACTGAGTACTGTTCCCTTCCTTTCTCAGTATTAGACCATCAAATGCCTGTAAAAAGAACCCAGAGGACCAATATAAGCAAACCTGTCTTTGATGATGAACACAAAGACCACCTAGGGTTTAGACATCTAGCCAAGCATCTATTCCAGATGACAGCCAGTTAGGTTCCTTACAGTGCAACTGGAGAACAGTGCCTTCACAGAGCAATTCAGGAAGCGACCTGGAGATGTCCGCCCTTTTCCACTGATAGAAAGGGACCCAATGGCACCAAACCCAGATGCCTCAAGTGGGGTGGGGTGAATTCAAGTGAAGACTAATGACATATGTGGGACATATTATAGCACCTTCCAGTACCTGCAGGGGCTACAAGAAAGCTGGGGGGGGGGATTTTTTACAAGGGGCTGTAGTGACAGGACAAGGCATAATGGGTTTAAATTGAAAGTGGGGAGGTTTAGATTGGATATCAGGAAGAAGTTCTTCCCGGAGGGCGTGGTGAAGCACTGGAACAGGTTGCCCAGAGAAGCTGTGGATGCCCCATCCCTGGAAGTGTTCAAGGCCAGGGTGGATGAGGCTTTGAGCAACCTGGTCTAGTGCAAGGTGTCCCTGCCCGTGGTAGGGTGGTTGGAACAAAACAATCTTTAAGGTCCCTTCCAACCCAAACCATTCTATGATTCTATAATCTTGCAGAGGTGCTAGCACATTAACTCCATGCTCAAGATGCACCAGCTGCAGAGGACCATTCAGGATTTGAGATAGTTTTATTAATGATGTGCACATTGTGCACATACGCCCACATGGGTAGAAGAATGGTCATATCCCAAAAAAAACAAGCCAGTACCACCTGCTCTGAGGACTGAGGAGGTTTACAATCATCTGTGGAAAAAGGCCTCCAACCTGCTCTTCTTAGAGGAAGCAGCACCAATAATATTGATGACCTTGAGCAACCTAATTTAACTTCAGAGGTGGCCTTTTAGTGCGGAATTGGATCAGAAAGCCTCTAAAGGACTCTCGAGGCCAAAACTATTGCATGATTCTATGAAGCCCTGAAAAAGTTCTTTGCAAACAGCTTTTTGTATTTTCTTGTCTTTCTACATCATTTAGACTTTATTTATATGAGAGTGCCAACTGTTAGCAAATCATCGTACAGGTCCCTTTCCTTACACATGAAAAAGGTTCTTATGAATCCTGTAAAAATGCAATTAATGAGAATTCAAAAGAAAACCTGTCAGTCAGCTTGGGTATTTCTATTTTAAAATACAGTTTTAAGAAATTTAGCACCTATTGCTAAACCACAGGAAAAAGAAATCCAATACGACTTCATTTAATCTGGTTTCTAAGTAACAAAAAATATCTTAATAAGCAGTGTGTTTTATTGTGCCATATCTCTAATATGCAGAACTAATATTACTCTGAATTCCTGGGTTTATAATGTTTTTTGAGTAACTACTCATCTTGATTTTTTTTTTTTTTTTTTAAAAAGCACAAATTGCCAGCACTTTCATTCTCTACTACATTTTAAAGTATCAGTTAGTTTTACCTGCAGCACCTTTTCTGGCTTGAAACACAGCAAAGGAAGATGAAGATCCAAGTCAATAATTGGACTGTCTGGATCCTCTCGCGAAGGAATTATTATTTGAAGTGGTTTCATATTAAATACCTGTAATAACAGATGTTTTCCATTTACTTCTTCATTAGAATGTTCTCACAACACATTTAATTCAGGATTTTAGCTCCAACTACAAAATATTAACATTAATTGAGAGCAAGAAGACAAATATTTGCATACTGCAGAAAATTAAAATAGAGAGGGCAATATAAAAAGATGTAATAACTAGCTTGAAATATTAACATGGACTTCATCTCTTTTCACAGATACATTGTTTAGCCAAAAAAACCTTCAAATATACATATATACAAATACATTCTTTTAATAGAATTAAACTTGTTTTATTGTAAGTATAATAAAATAATGAAATTTATACTTGTAGATAAACTGGGAAACCAAAACCATTGATAAAATTCATGCGGGATATAGAAAAAATATGAATAACAGAACTGAGCATTGGTGCTAACGTTAAGAAGATGGACAAGGCAAAACAAAAGAGCTCTTTCAGAGTTTCAAATACTGCAGCTCAAATCTCTGGGGGCCAGATCCTGCACATGCTGCATATTTCAGAACTTGGCAGCTGTTTTAGCCAATAGTTCAGACAGTTTTCCAGATATGCTATTTTTTCCTTCACTCCTAACGCCTCATCCAATGGGTCAAGGAAAGCAGCTAAAGGAGAAGTCCATGGCTAAAGCAATGCTTCCCTAGAAGACATTTCAGTAAACAAAAGAGAGTGTGCTGAAATCACTGGCTTAGCTAACATATAGCTTGATTTGGGATGGGTTATAAAGAAGAAAATAGAGCCCACACATCTCAGCTTCTATACTGAATACAAACGTTTATGTGAGTTTCTCCTCTCAGCTAGGTCTTACCCAGGCAGCAGCCAATGCAAAACATTTCATCCACTACACACCGTCTGCTTCCCCAGAGTCATTCAGACACAAGAAATGAACAAGTCCAGAGCTGGACATGTTGTTCCAGCAACTGCTTTCCTTGGCCTCTTTTCTCTCACAGGGCCTACGCTACTCCTCAGTCACACAGCTGCATGTCCACCCATCTCACAATCAGGATGACAGCCATAAACATCCACATCAGGCAGCATGTCTTCCTATCAGGCACAAGATAGGGAACTCACAGAGTGACTCACTGGAGTTCCTATGTGTGTATTCAATCACATGGCCATGGCACACTGCTCAGGTGAAAGGTAAGCTTCCACCCTTATACACACCAGAGCTGCCAACTGGTCAGACAGTTTTCCAGCTATGCTATTTTTTCCTTCACTCCTAACCCCTCATGCAGTGGGTTCCTGGTCACATTGTTGTTTCATGTACTAATAAGTACACAGCCTTATTTTCAAAGCATGGATATTGACACCAGTCTTATTTCCACAAGTAAAATCTCTAAGTGACAGTGAAGAATGTCCCCCAGCTTAAAGAAAACAGCATCTTAGTGCTTTATAACCCATATTAAAGTAATTACGAAATTCAGCATCAGTAGTTACCAAGTGGAGTGGTCCTGGTGGCGGGCTGGGTATTAAAAATAATTTTGCTGCAAATTCTTTTATGTGCTCCTCAACATCTAAATCCTTGAAAGGTCGCAGTTGCACTAGCAAGCTGTAATTAAATTAGAGAAAATTAGTTATAAATAGTAACATGCAAACAGGAAAAAAAAATGCCTTTTTGCTGATAACCTAGAGCTAAAAAAAAAAGTTAGGAGCAATAAAGCTATTATTCCAGCTAATTAATTTCTAATTTATTAGGTATTTTAGCGGCTCCATTTAACTTTAATGATGCTGCTGTGTCAGAAGCAGGGTTTTTTTTACTTTCATGCATAACTTACCACTGCATCATATTTATCAGAGGATGCAGATGGAACACTGGGTCTCATGATGGCAAAGTAAACCTAGAGGCGGGACACAGCTAAAGGAAGTGTCGTACAGACATTGCTTGAGGAACAAAACACCCAGAGCCACCATAGTGCCACTGTGTTTCTCCCATCCCAAGCATCAGACATCAGCTCTGGGATGGAAAACGGCATCAGGTTTTAGACATGGGCTTAACTGCAGAGGACTGTGAAGCAAGAGCCATATTTAGCATAAGGCCTAGGCCTGCACAAACACTGCTCTTTGCTATCATTCCTACCATACAAAGAACAAATACTGTTGTGCAAACCTAGCAAACGTTTGTTTTAGAACTGTATTACCCTACCTGTGTCAAAGCCACAAAGGTCATGTGGTTTATATTATACGCCAGATCAATTCACAAACATTTAAACATACATGTGATTAAGACTGCAAATCGTTAAGCCCAACAGCATTTTTGAAATGCAACAATTAAGAAGTAAGGTATGTGTAGTCAGAAGGGCCATTTTGTTCAACATGAAATTCACATAGATGTTTATAGCCAAAAAACAACTCCAAAACCAAAACCACCTAAACCTTCACAAAATCGGAAATTTAAGCCTGTAAATCTATATAAATAAACACTAGGAACTTCATATGGTTATAGTCTCCTGTGAGGTTTTATTTCAGTTTGCAGTTTTACTGGTTTCCTGCAGAAGATTATTCACTCTTGAGGAAGAAATTGGTCTAGCAAGCAACTGAATAGGTCAGGAGACATATTAAAACCCAGGAGATCATATTTGTGTAAGGTATTTAAGGCACATTTCGAAACTGGCCTGGTCAGAGTACTAGGCTGTTACACATATGCCTAAGAAACCCATCAGCTATTTAGGGGTGCAGAGGAGGCAGGGGGAGGGGAATTAAAGAATTACCAAAGAAAATTAGACAGTAGAGTCATCAATTTAAACAAATACGCTGTTATGTTTTATAAATATATAAATATATATATTTAAG